ACGCGTGGTTTTCGTCCAAACTATATAGAATGCCTCAAAGATCCCTAACATGCATACATTAAAAAATACTTATAGGTTACAAAGTATATATATATATATATACAGCCCCCATTAGTTAGATCTGATGATCAGTTAGCGTTCGATGAAACGGAGAAGCCCGAGTGCATGGCAGATAGCATCGAGAGCCAATGCTCTCCAAGCACCCTGCCAATCGACTACGTCCACCTGAACAAGGTGGACGAGGAAGCGGCTAATCTGTTCGCCACACCACCAAAGGATGATCCACTCCCTCCCGTTACTTTTGATGAGGTGAAAACCATTATCAAAAATCTCAAACCTTGAAAAGCGCCAGGTGCTGACGTTATTAATAACAAAGTCTTTAAAACCCTTCCTCCAAAGTTGATCTGCCTTCTAGTGGCTATTTTTAATGTCTTATTGTCCACCTGCACCTTTCCAGAAGTATGGAAAGAAGCAGAAGTAATCGGTATTCACAAACCGAACAAACCTAGAGATAAAGCATCTAGCTATAGGCCCATCAGTCTCCTCAATGCCATGGGGAAAATCTATGAGCGCATCATCCTCAGTCGTCTGAAAGATGCAGTACTAAGTAAGAATCTAATTCCTAACGAGCAGTTTGGCTTTCGAGCCAAACACTCTAGTGTTCAACAGGTGCACCGCCTCACGGAGCACATTTTAGACCAGGCCGCAAAGGCGAAAAGGCGCCCTGTTTATATAGGAGCACTGTTCTTCGATGTAGCCATGGCCTTCGACAAAGTCTGGCACAACGGACTAGTTTTTAAACTTATCCATACAGGGTTGCCCTTAAGACTTGTCAAAATCGTTCAAGATTTTCTTGCAAATAGATCCTTTCATTTTCGCGTGGAGGGTACTTTCTCCTCTTCCAGATCAATCAGAGCAGGAGTTCCCCAGGGCTCGGTGCTCTCCCCGACCCTATACCCACTTTACGCAAGTGACATCCCTTCGATAACAGGTACTCATCTCGCACTATACGCGGATGAAACTACCATCTATTCTTCAGACACCCACCCTATTATAATCTGCAGTCGACTCCAAGCTGCAGCAAACGCACTAGGCGATTGGTGCAGAAAATGGAGAATCGAACTGAACCCCGATAAGAGCAAAGCTATCTTTTTCAACAGAAGGTGTTTTTATAACACCTTATTGGCACAGGTTAAAAAATATAAAATAGGTACGATCTCCCTCTACAGCAGCCCAATCCCGTGGGTCCGAGAGGTAAAATACCTGGGGGTGACCTTATATTGTGCAATGAGCTTCTCTCAATACATTACAACAGTTAGAAACAAGGCAAAATTCGTTGTGTATCGTCTCTTCGCCTTAACAAACGCAGTAAACTGTCCCTAAGACACAAACTGCATCTTTATAAAACCTGCGTACGTCCTATTATGACATACGCGGCATACCTTTGCTCCTATTGTGGCATACTTTTGCTCACGCCTCCAAAAAGAGTCTAAAACAACTTCAAGTTGTACAAATCAAATACCTGCGTCATATCACAGGAGCTCCCTTCTATGTGAGGAACGCGGATCTTCACCGCGACCTCGATATGCCCACTATATACACGTATCTTAAGGAACTATCCTTAAGATACTTCGATTCGATAAAGGAACACGAAAATCCGTTAGTGAATGAGGCGGGCTCGTACTCCCCACTGAGGGATACTGCCTCCCGAAGGAGACGTCCCAAAAACGTTCTTCTTGATCCCGACGTACTAAACTAGTTACTAAACTAGTACCCCCTCCACAGGAGAGGGAACTAGTTTAGTAACCATAAACACTCACACATACTCAGACACTACTCTAGTACAGAACACTAGGGCATACCGCATTCGCCGGCAAATGCGTCGTCACAGACACACTCCGTACACGAGGTTTAACATCCGTGACACGGGGCGTTTCTAACTTTTACGACCCGTTAACAAAATTGCGATAGTGATTCAAGCCGAGTTTCGTACCTCCTTCTGAGGGGCCCTTGAATCGCATCGAGCCCCCCCCCCCCCCCCCTAGCTCGAGGAGCCTCACTCCGAAAGTAGGGCTCGGGGTGCCTCGGGACTGCAGTCGGCGAAGCGGCGTTTCGCGCCGCCTCGTCACCGGCAGAATCGTTGCACTCAATAGTTCGTAAGTCTTCACTTACGAACTTAATTAGATAAAGCTGTCAAGGCCACAAGGCCAACAGCATACACATTCGGAATATATATATACACCAATTGTAACGATGACGATGCTGCTAAGTATCCGGTTGAATATTAAAGTTAAGCACCCCAGAGAGCGTCCCCATAGTAAAATTCTATATAAGGTCAATGTGGGGAAGACCGGCCATACTTTTTTAATAGTTAACTTTGATTGATCCAAACTAATGGAACTTATACATGCTAGGGTAATTCATATAGGTAGTTACAAATGATGGAAGATATTGTTTTGACTATTTTAAAAACACTTTAATTGCTTTAATGTAAAAAAAAATAACGGTTAAATAGAATAAAATAAAAATAAAAATCGGCGTGTAGACGGAATTTCCTTACAGTTTGAGGTAAGTCCGTCTAGTGGTCATTATACACTAAATTTAATAGATCTCACACGAGGGAACGTTTTCTAACGATGAAGTAACGAATGTCCTTGAAATATGTGCTTTAGAGTCATACATATAAGGTTGCAATTAATTTAATTAAATAATTTTCTCATACTTGTATTATATTTACGTGATGGGGTTGTAAACATTTTCGGTACAATAAAAGCAAAACAAATTCTAAGCCATGCCTTATTTTCTAGAAAAGTATAATAAATCACTCTCGAATCGAGTATTATATCAGTATTTAGTAATTACTGCTATGCAGTAATTACTGCAGGTTAGCAGTAATTACTAAATACGAACGGTTCTGAGCGACCTGCATGTCTCATCGGGTCTTATCTCCATCTAGTGGGGGGCTTTCGCTTACCGGTACCTTCCATTTCCCATATCTGCCTGCCAAGAGTGGTAATCGTGGCAAATCCTCCCTACAAGATAGGCCCATGGCCAGTAGTGGCTGACAAAATACTGCACAACGACATAAACAGTCTTGGGCTTTTAATAAATTAGCTCACTGATCCGCTGGGTCATGTTATTTACTATTGTTTGAGAAATTCTCAGCATAGCCCTCACCATAGCTCGCTGGGGGACTTCTAGCTTAATCATACGCCCAGCAGTGAATGATCATGTTTCGGTTCTTAAGTCATCACTGGCAACACTCACTGGTTGTACATTTTTGTCTCAAGGCTTTGAGCTACGTCGTAAGAAGATTTGTCGCAGTTTCCCGAGAGTTACAACTAGCCGAGTTGGATTGGTCGGCTGATCAAAGTTGGATCGGCCTTTTTGTCCCAGGTACACATACTCGTCAACAACTTCAAGCGTAGTGTCCTCAACAAATATCAATACCACCATATAAGTTATCCATTATTCAACTTAAGACTTGGGAGACACTACTGAAGTCTATAAGCAGAGTGCAAAGGTCCAAGGGTTAACTTAGCACAAAAAAACATGCGCGAGTGTCGTGGAACACTCGATTGGAACGAAGTTCCTTTCGTAGTATATTATTATTATTGGTAAACGTATTATATTATTGATTAACAAATACAAATAAATGAATTACTAGCGTCTATTAAAAAGATGTCATTTAAAATAATATTTATTTCATGGCAAGATAAGAAAAAGTGTGAGGGAGATGAATATTATTCCATCTCGCTTGCACTATAGAAGGGCGAATCGGAATGACGAAAAAATATTACACTTTTTCTCGCCTAGCCCCTATCCGCCAAATTAGTACCGTGCGTACGATAAGGAGCTTCGTTCCAAAAATACATAAATGTTAATATTTTAACCTCTGTTAGAAAAGATGTCTTGTGCCCGCAGCGGGACATAAATATTCAGCTTGTAACGTGTCTTACTTTTAATGACAATGTAAAAAAAATCTTTAAATAAAACGCGAATAATTGTATGCGGGTAGATTATTCCGATAAGCAGATTAACGATAAAAATAAAATAGTCGTTAGCTCTATCGTACAAAGTACTGTTACGAGCTTGGGGTTTGAGACAATTAAAAACTGCTGATTGAATTACTAAAATTGACACTTTAATTACAGAACACTAATTACAACTTAAAACCACACTAATAATAAAACACAATTGTACTACTAATCACTTTAGTTCGCAGTTATATCGCTTCGAATTATTCGCTTATATCGCGAATTCAATACTGCCTCGGTCTCATTTCTGAGAGGGTTTTAGAGCAAGGAAGTGTCCGCCGCAGTGTCAGTCTCGGTATCGCAGTCTATACCGGCCTTATATAGGGCCTCAGATAGTTTCCAGAATTTTCTATTGTAGAAACATCTGGAATGTTCGAGTACATATCGGTCCCGCTTTACTAGGTGTCGATAGTTCCAGAAAGTTCTTCCATGGAAATTTCTCGAAGGTTCTTGACACTCCTAGTTCTGCTACTCGATACTAGAGGGCGCTAGTGGTATTAATTGTGGCGCGCAACAGTACTAACAAAAATCTATCGATTATCAGTATTCGCCACAACTGACACGCTTGGCAAGCGGATTGGCAGCAGAAGTCTACTTATTTTTAGTTGTTATTAGGAAAATGCTGCTTCCCATCATCTTTTTTGCTTCCCTCTGTCGCCTCTTACTAAATCCACGGGACGATATGGGGTAGCAAATATTCTTACACCGCTACATGGCCAATACCGCCACTACACGATCAGACAGGTTATTTATAATAAAAAAAACCATGATTAGAAAACAAAAATGTACAGTTTATTGTATTACTTGTGAACAAAATATATGGAAATACTATAATACAAGTATATTATTAAGTTACATTACTGTTTTGATGTTTTCAATCGGTTATTCGAATCTCATTAAATCTCAGACTTAAAGTCCTCGCTTTATTTCATTATAAAATGGCGAACGGATTATAAAAATCGTTTAGTTCTTGTCGAGTTTCTTTGCCTCGTATTCTTTTGTCCTCACTTGGTAAGGATGGGCAGCAATATATTCCAAAGCACGAGCAATGTAGTCGGGGATGGGCATCGGCTTTGGAAGATGATCACCCTGTTGAAAATTAAACATTTTAAAGCTTGTTGTACTTTCTATACATTACACGACTACACAGGACGTGCTCCAAGAAAAAAGTGCACAAATACATATAGTTAATTTTTTAGTCTTCCATCTTCAATCAACTACCGAATATATATCCATAATGATTATATATCACATTTATAGCATGCAGAACAATAGGTTTCAAATGACGCTGAAACCATGCTCAAATTCTTGACACGCACTCTCATCACATCTTCTTACTTTTTTCTCTTCTTATGAAATGGTAATCTATAATATAAAAATGAATCGCTGAATGTGTTGCCAAGCGCAAATATCGAGAGCAGCTGAGCCGATTTCGCTAATTATTTTTTTATAATATTCCTTGAAGTACAAAGATGGTTCTTACGGAGAGAAAATTTTAAAAAATTGCCTGAAAAAGTCTAAAAACAACACTTTTCTATATTCCCATATAAAAGATTCGTAATAATACTTAAAAGTCAATTTGACTTTAATACCATACCATAAAGTTTAAGTCTTAGTGGTGGGGTTCCGGGAAGGCAAAAGAATTGAGTGACGTTAGTATCGTATAAATATTAATGTCAATATTTGTCAATATTTATACACACTGGCAGATAGCTGATGTTATAAGGAGTAACTTGGGCTGATTTTATTTTAGGGTTCCGCGGAAAATAACTCCACGCGGGCGAAGTCGCGGGGAACAGCTAGTACTATTATATACAACGCGCAGTTGATAACCATTAATTTGTTATTTCTTTGCACCCATGTACTTTTTTATTCTAACTATAATTTACCCCATAATATCGTCCGTGGGTGTCGTAAAAGGTGACCAAGCAAAATAAACCAGAAAATGGGCGGCAGCGGCAATAAACGACTGCTTTTGCTAATCCGACTACCAAGGTTATATATATAGGTATCCATTACCATTATGAGGTAATCTCTGGGGAGGTACAATTTCATTTTAACTACGTTGCAAAATGTACCTTAGGCTGGTATCCGTTTTCGTCAGCTACGTAGGTAATCTCAATTTTTTGACCCTCTGGTGACACGTATGAGACTGATCCCTGCACTTGATGAGCAGTCTCATCCTGTAAAAAAGTAGTGTAAGGATCACAAATAAATTTCTAAACTCTTAATAGTTTATTAGATTTTTGAAATTTTATATCAGCCGCACCAGGAAACATAAAAAAATATTTATTTTATAATTTGTTAGCCTTTAATTTATTACTAGTTATGTAGCCGTGGTAGCTCAGATGGTTAGCGCTACCGCGGTAAATTTCACAGTACGCGACCAACCCGGGTTCGATCCCTGTCGGCACCAATGAAATTGTTAATTGCAATTTTAAGTGCTGATTTACCACGTGCTCGGCGGAGAAGGAAAACATCGTGAGGAAACCTGCATGTCTGAGAAGTAAGAAATAAGTGTTTCGAAGACATGTGAAGTCCGCCAACACGCATTGGGGCAGCGGGGCCGACACTTCCTTGCTCTAAAACCCTCTCAGAAATGAGAGCAGGCCAGTGCCCAGCAGTGGGACGTATATAGGCTGTAACTTTACATTTTTTAACTTTTTTATGTATCAAGGGCAAGAAAATGTTTTAATAAATATATTATATCAAAATGTCATGACAGTCGTGACATTGCAATAGCAAATGTACGCGTTTAGAGTTTGGATGAAGCTCGTCATGCAGTTAAAGCAATTGTCTATATAACTACGGCAAATGACAAAAAAATTATTGATGGCAATTCTCAAAATAAAACAAGCTTTTAACCTCTAATAACGTAAAAATAGACAATTATAATTGACCTGTTGCTCTCTCTTGTCACCAAATGACTATAAAAAGGACTGGTATAAATATAATTAATACTTTATTTAAGTAAGCGATAATCAGCAATTATTAGTGAGGCCAAAAGATTTTTTATATAAGTACCTTGTTCAAAACTGTTATTCTTCCATCGGCTTGCGCTGTAATACCATTGTCTGTCTCATAACCGTACTGGTAACCACCATTAGAATCGTGATCAAAATTACTACGAACGACATTGGCAACATTGTCCGGAACTGTGGCACATGCGCAGCCAATGGCGCAAAGTAAGACAACAAGGTTTTTCTGTAAAATTAAAATAACATGTTACTTAATAACATCGAATATTTTACCAACACTAGAAAGAGTCATGGAAATATAAATTAAATACTCTATAAAATATATGTTTTTAAAGATAATCGTTTTATGGACTTAATAAACTTTTGTTATCAGCAAAAGTTTATCATATGAAAATTATAAATAGGTGAAACAAAAATAAAATAGTAGATCGGCAGCAGCATATTTCTAATGCCAACTCAAAATAATAAAAAAATGGGGGTTGGCAACCGCATGTCAAGCAAGGGAGGTCTATGATTATGTTGAGCAGTGGACTTTTGATAAGCTGAAATTAAATTAATTAGTAATTCTTATGAATGAATGATGTATAAGATAAGTTTTATGACAGTAAAACGAGACCCTACAATTGTGGTGTTTTGGCTAATTTTACATTTTATAAAATATTTTCTTACTGGTACCGCTTTAAAGTAAAATTTTTATGCGGGAGTCCCACGTTAAATCAAGTTCATTTGTTTCGTAATTAAATATTAAAACAGGGAATGATCACATTATTAAATAAAATTATTAATAAAATAAATAATATTTTTCTCTTTTTAATACTAATATATAATGTGCATAAAATATATATGCATAAGTTAGGAGCCCATCAAGAAATGTTACATTAACAATGCATGACTTTTTAAGCGGAGTCTAAAGTTGAGGATTTTGCAACTACCATTCTCCAAATTAAATTTTTATTACTTAATCTCTATAACAGGCAGCTATACATGCATAAATGCATGTTAATAAAAGAATATGAATCGTAAAAACTCTGTAGACTTAAAATTCTGTAGACTTCTAGTAACATGAAACTAATGAAATTGATGAAATTAATGTTAAAAGTTTTGTAATATACAAATTACAACTAAAGAAATATAAGGAACTTTCACTATTAATATCTCAAAATTAATATCATTATCAAAAGCTCACCATATTTAGTTGCTTCACGTTCTACTGATGAATCGTTACAAATGTCGTTTTTCGGATAAAATCCTTTTATATTCTTGGTAATGTACAATGATATCACGGATCTTTCTCTATTTATAGAAAATGTCATTTTTTGGTCTTTTTCCTAAACTTTTTATCGGCTGCATACACCTGACATTTAGATTTAGAGAATTCTAAACATGTTTAGGCTATTAATTCCTAGCTAATAATTATACCATTGGTTTACTTGTAGATTAAAAGTAGTAGATTAAAAGTCTACACGCTGGCATTAATAAGAAATGAGTAAAATTTGAAAACAAAATTAAATAATAAATGGTTTCCAAACCTTTTGTATCATTAGTTTAATGAACGAACAAATAAACGCAGTCATTTTAAAATTCATAATAAAGATATTGTGAAACGCACTCATGATAGACTTCATAATGAGGATATCCGCAGTATAAATAAAGTAGCCAATATAACTAAACGGATCAATAAGGTGAATTAGCAATGGGCCTACCATATGACTCTAAGAACCGACAACCAAAGGGGAAGGAAGGTTCTCGAGTGGCATACAAGGCTTATCGATAAGCGAAGCATAGGGTGACCCACAACTAGATGAAGTGACGATCTGTTAAGAGATGCAGGAAGTCAACGAATACATGTGACTTGGCACTGTGGTTTGTAACATTTCTTGGAGTCCAATGCTCAGCAGTAGACTTTTTCTTGGGCATCTCCACACTTTAATCCTTCCATCATCTGGCTTCAGGCAAAATCTGGACTCATCTGTGAATAGTACTTAACTCCAAGCTTCTTCATTCCAATTTCCGTGATTGAGATCAAAACTAACTCAAGCTACTTGATGGCATATGGCAAGACGAGGCCTTATTGGGCTGTAATAATGATGATGATGATAAAGAACAACACTCACGTTGTAGAATACGTGGAAGAGCCATATTACAGCGTGTTATGACTGCAGCATGAATAGCTCTTCTCGAATCTAATGCTGCTGTATTTGACGGTACGGTTAGTGAAGATAACCGTTCATGGCTACTGGTAGAAGGATACGCTGTACTTTCATTCTTTATCAAGTATACGTAAATGTTAGTGTCTATGGCCACAGCAGCCGTTTACAATAAGGTGGACTGTTTACTCGTTTGTCTTCCTTACTTTTATATATATAAGTAAGGAAGACACACTATCTTGGGTACATATAATATATAAATATATATGTACCCAATATACATATATATTTATATTTATGTATCTTGGATACATTTTTCATAAATTAAAGGCGACAAGCACACAAAATATAGTAACAGTACACAACCCACCTGGTACTATATGGATGTTGTGAGCTCTATTATGAGACAAAATTTACCTAGATGAGTTGTCACAGTTAGGAACAAGAATAGATCTGAAATACCACGTTATCAGTACAAAGGGTCTCCGAAAAACTCTACACAGACCATACGAAACACATCAAAATTAATCTGATATTTTATGCTGGTATTCTGAGAGAAATGTGAAAGTTATAAAATTGTTATAGTAGTTAAAATTTTTATCTGTTGAGTTTAATTTGAACAATAACGTAGTGTGTGGGTGGAGTGAGAGTTTCCACCTCCCAATTTTGTTCTATAGAAACTTGAATTGATAGTGGTAACTGCCAGAAAGACCTTGTGGCTTCCGACATATGGCAATATAGCCATACTCTTTACGTCAGACGTAAAATACACAAGCCAGTTACGAGAAGCACCGTCAAAGATGAAAGACGTTCAGAATTTTGATATTTAATCTAATACAGTCAAGCATGGCTAATATGTCAAATTCTCCCGGAAACGAACCAGTGGACAATAACTTTAAGAGCTATTGAAACAAAATAAGTTATATATGAAATTAAAAGACAAACAAACATGAAAACCAATATCATAATCAAATTCATTAATAGGTATAGTAACTGGCAAAAAATATAGTTGTTTTATTAAATACCACGCAGACCAAAGGTCACGCTTTACCGGCTTGAACTAATAACCCAATGAAAGTGGAGTTTCTTGATATTCAACTTAATTTAAATAATACAGAAACTGGTTACCACGAATAAAGGAGTCTAAAAAAAGGTAAAAAATATTTGTAATAAATATACAAGCGACATGAACGATTAAAAGTATTTCTATAGATATTACACAATCTCATTAACCTTAAAAATGTAGTTAGTATATTTCCGTAGAAAAAATTACATTCTCATACTTTACTATTACTTTTAACAGTACAACCAAGTAAATCACATGATCCTAATAACCACAATAAAAAATAAATGAAGATAGATTAAAAATTGTGAGATAGCCATGCTAAAAGATAAATAATAACGATTGTGGGTGTTATTCTGATGTGACTTTGATGTCTTTTCCTACAGAAAATGTTATACTCCTACTAACATTTTACTGCTCTTAGAAAGTGGAGTCTTAAATGTAAAAGAATTGTCCGTAAGCCATACCATTACTAGTTTCCTGTAGGCACCAAAACCGCGATCTGTAACTAAATGTTTAGTCACTGTGGTACTGTTTCGCTCTGCCCTGAGTATCAGCATCCTACTAGATAAGTAAGAAGAGCGGCAGCGACAAACTGGAGTGTTGGGTGACCAACTCAATAAATGGAGTAGGTACGAATTTTATTATTTTATATAAGGACGGAAAAAAAGTTTCTTCGTAGTTTATATAAAAATGGAGTAGGTACGAATTTTATTATTTTATATAAGGACGGGAAAAAAGTTTCTTCGTAGTTTATGTAAAAATTCAAGACATTTAATTATAATATATAATGTACCATTTTGTTTGATAACTTGTTACCATCTTGTATAGTAGGTAGTGACATAATCCCGTTGCTGTAGTAATCTTGGGATTTTTGATCAAAAAAATGCGACAAGTAGTTTTGACAGTCATTTCTTGATGTTAACCTAACACTACCTAAATAATAACGTATGATAGATAACGTATGCAGTTGAATTAATAAATTTATATATGCCGTTAAACACGTCAAAAACATTACAAATATTAAAACGGCAATTGCAACGTACTTCGGATACGTAGTCTATTTTACGCTATGGACTTATATTATGGGGTAAAGGTACTGATCAAAATAGAGCATTCGTTGCCCAAAACAAAAATGTATTCGTGCAATATGCCAAAGGAATCTAAACTATCTAAATGTATACTGCTATTTAAAAGACGTGGTATATTACCCCTCCGGTCACTATACATTTATGTTTTTTTAAATAAGTCATTATTTGTTAAAGCAAGTGATACATATATACCCTCAAAACCAACGTGACCCAGACAAACTTGTCCTAGATGTTCGCTCTTTAAATATAACAAAAGTTGGATAAATATGTGTGCAAAAATATATAAAAAAATACTTAAAGAATTTAAATTATTAAGCGAAATATAAGAAAGAAGAGAATGTAAGAAACATTCGTATAATTGGTTAAAAATTGAATGCTTTTATGACTTAAAAGATTTTTTGAGACGTATTTTTTAGATTTAAATAATTATTAATATTGTCTAAACATTTTAAAATTATAATTTGCATGCTATTATTAGCGAAACACGACTGCACTATATAAATTGTAACATCTTTTATACCGTGGTCCACGCAAATAAAGATTTATGATTATGATTATGATTAACAGTTTGACACTTGGCTTGGTGATCCAAAGGTGTATGTGAAGTGATGACGATTGACATCATCCAAACCAAATGTACCCTGAAAATCAGAATGCGACTTATTGCCAATACTCATGGTTCCAAGAAACTTCCAGATATCTGCGGGGAAAGAGGATAGATTGTTGATAAAAATATATCAGCGCTTCGTGTTGCGTATCATTAAATGCGTGGGTGCGTTGTCAGTGGAAAGCAGTTGCTAGTATACTATTACCCTAGCTTATATGCCAATGGTATATTGCTGGTATACTATTGACCTATAAGATAGGGTGATTGCGAGGGTGAAATCTGATAGCAATCATCGAATGGTTAGGGCAAACTCAACCTAAACATTAAGTTGGAGAGGTGTCGTCTAATGAAGTCAAGGCTCCGTCCCCCTCGTGCTCTAATCCAAACTCCCAAAACCTTACAGCTCGAGTTACAGAACCGTTTTCAGTGCCTAGAAGATTGTAATGCAGTGAACGATATCAATGACAAGCTAGTGGAAACTGTCCATACCTTCGGAGCTAAATTTTGCAAGACGCACCGCAGAAGAACACAAAAAGTCTCCGATCACACTCTTCTTAATCTCATGATCAAAATTAACATAATGACAAATATTAAATTGCACAAAAAGTAAAACTTCATTTTCCTTCTTCCTGTTATAAGAAATTGTTGGCTATTATTTAAGCCTAGAAGCTACAACCTATTTCAATAATTAAATCAGGAATTCATAGCGTCCGATGTTTCTTCTCTCATGAAAAATGCATCGAAGCAATTTACGGGATTTTCCCGACGGCGAATAATTTAAGCATTTTTATATCGATGTTGCATCACGAAGACTATCTAGTTATAATAAATTGGTTTCAAACTTCGATAGATTTTATTTTCTACTACAGTAATTTGCATTAAAATTTTTATAAATAGCTTTTACTTATCCAAAAATAAGAATAAAACTTATATTTGGTGACAAACCCTGGACACAGATTACAGATGTTGCGCCAGCTGCATAAGCCGCTTCTAGCACTATCTGCGTCGTAAGCAGATATTTACAAAATTTTATACAAACTAGACTATTGTTGCGTTTTCAAACAAGAATAATTTCATTCTGTTAATGCTTACAATATCAACAATATCAACTTCTTGACTACTTCTTTCAAATTTGACTATGTAATAGCCATTTTATACAGTTTTTAAGAAAATATATTGGATCAAAGTTCTTCATCGGACAGTACGGATTTAGTGGATGGGGGGCTAGGCGACAAAAAGTGTAAGCTTTTTCCATCACAACCCCTTCTGACGTAGTGTAGCGGCTATAAGGAAGCGAGATGGAATAATATCCATCTCCCTCGCACTTTTTCTTATCTTGCCATGAAAGTAATATTATTTTATTTTATGTGATAGACGCTAGTAATTCATTTATTTGTATTTGTTAATCAATAATATAATACGTTTATCAATAATAATATAATACGAAAGGAACTTCGATCCAACCGAGTGTTTCACGACACTCACGCATGTTTTTATTTTTTATATTAACTAGCTGGGCTGGCAGACGTTTTTCTGCCCTTTCCGGTAGGTAGTGTAATGAGTTTCAATTCTAATTAGCTCTTTTTACAGTGTAAATATAATTCCCACGGGAGTCGTAGGAGGCAACGGAGGGAAACTGAAACAGGAGATGTGCAGCAGCATCTTCCTGATAACAACTCCAAATTATAAAATACTGTCGTTACCAACCCGCCTGCCAAACCTGGCAACTATTACAAAATCCCTCCTTTAGGCAATCTATGGGAGAGGTCTGTGTTCAGCAGTAGACTTCTACAAACTTTGATGAATGGATAGGCTATAAGAATAATTAGACCAAGTGATAGCGATAAAATTACCCAAAATCGCTGTAACAAATTTCACAGAGGGGTCCGTGGCGTAGTGGCGTAGCAATGAGTTGCAGCGCTTAGGGCCGCGGGTTCGAATCCCGCATGGAACAAGAATATCTATGGCTTACAAATAATTAGTCCAGTTCTGGATGTTTGCCCTTGTGCTATTTATGTTTGTTACCTGCTTCCACGAAACAGGAGAAAATTCTTGTGTGGGGTAACGTTTTATAACCAATAAAGAAATGTTTTATAACTTATATATTTCATAACACAGGTTAGTGTTAGGAAACACCATTACCAGTATACATGCAACCAGTCATCCATCCAGTATTGATAATAGCTTACTTATTTTTGGAAAGACCCACTTAAGAAGTCCACTGCAGTAAATTCTTTGTATTGTGTTATGTGATAAAAGCATTTACGATTACTCGAACTAAATACGATGTATGTAGTTGTAAAGACCACTCTACTAGGCCGTTGAACAAAAATTGTACATTATAATAAAAATGTCTTTAGATTAAAGATTTTAGTAATTCTAAAATTTCTAAAAATCTTTAAATTTAAAACTAAAAAAAAAGTTAAGTCTAGGTGACTGCCTAGTAGAGTTTTCCAGTCGGGTTCGAGCGAGAGAGCCTGTTGGCAAATTCCGGGGTCTTCATACTAGGTACCATCGATCCTGTGACTACGTTTGCGTCCCTAGGTTATATGTGTGACGCCTCGGCCAATTGAAATTCTCTCGACCTATTCACTCCAACAACAATGAATAAAAGAAAAAAGAAGGATAATGTTTGACAACGGTTGCACTCTCTTTCCATCTAAATGCACCTCACAGACATCCGATTCAAGGTCTGCACTGTAATCTCAACGTGGTCCACTACCACCTTGAGACTGACAAACCATACTTACTTTAGATTCGCGTACCTTGGTTACTCTGGGTACACATTGGAGGATAATTTACACGAGCGTGCCGGAGTCTATATGTATGTCGGCAATGACATCTGCTGTAAGCGTCTCGGTCACCTTGAAGACCCCAATTTCTTCACGATCTGGGTATTGATAGACAACGGAATTTGTAAAATTATTTATTCTTGTGTCCACCGATCGCACAGTGGTGACCAGGAGGCAGTTTCTTACATTATGTAAAGCGCACTTCCGGTCATGCATGGAGTACTGATGCCACAAAATGCCACCTAGCGGCGTTGGACTCAGTGGAGAGACGTGCTAAGATGTTCATTGGTGACCTTGGTTTGATTGAAACCAACCGTGTCAGAATTGAGTACAGGCGCACAGTACCCAGCTTCTGGGAATTCTATTCGTAAGCAGAAATTACATGCTTAAATTCCTCCCTCTTCTTTCCACCATCGGACAATTAGACGGTTCGCGGGTCTTCATCCTCTCTTTGTCGAGATATTCCACTCATTACAACCAAACGTTTTGCTTCATCTTTTGTAATGCGTATAGCAAAGTACATACGTGAGCGGAATAATTTGCCAATTTGCAAGAGTGAATAGGCTTTTGTTGTGTTAAGACAGAGCGATTTATCATCTAGGGATTCATCACCACTAACAGGTGGGATTTTGTTCAAGCACTAGCTTATAATAAGTAAAAAGTGAAATATCAAATATATCTTTATTATACTGTCTGTCTGATAGCATGTAAAAGAGTTGTAAGAGTGATACCTATGCAGATCTTCGCAGGAAGTAACGTTAATTAGCAATTGCTGAAACAGAAGAAAATTATTATTTTTTTGTTTTGAAATATGCAAATAACTGACTGAAGCTGTTATTATTTGTATTTATAAGTTTTAATATATACACAGTTAAACAAAAGCTATTGGAATAAAAGTCAATAATTATATTTACACGTCAAAATTTCAATAATGAGAATAATTATTTTAGCAGGGCTTTGTCAAAGAAAATATTAAAAGAAAAATTCTTCGCAGTTCCTTTCTTTTGTGTTATAAAAAGGAAATGAGCGCTCTAATTACTAGGTTGAGCGAGCTAAGAGGGAACTGAAAAATTGAACATTTTACGCTGGTAACATTGCGCCAATTTAGTATGATGAGACTAGAAGTTGTTACATTGATTCAATCAACCTCGAAGTACTCATCTGTTAATAAAAAGAAGTACATTAGACAAATGACATGGTATTGTAATGCTACCTAGAATTCTATTAGTTTTTAATGTATTCAACATTACATATGTTTCCATACATGAAAAAGAGTTTTAAGATGATTTAGATAAGACTTGGAAAGTGGTAGACTTGGAAATAAGTTTTCTTTAGACCTGAGTTTTGAAACGATGACCCAAATAAATCTAAGTTTATCGGCCAGCTAAAATTACAATATTGTTAAAATATTTAATGCAAATTTTTTGTTGCAGAACGTTTGAACGTTCTATACGAACGAAACTGGACGAGATTGGTGCACGAGCAGCTTCACAAATTCGAGTCGTCTATAGTAGCAGCAGCGCGACAGTCGCCTGAAGCACAGTCCCCTGAGCTGACTTTAGATAACCAGTGGACGTTTTCTAGAGCCCTAATCTATTGTATAACACTCATCACTACAATAGGTAAGAATTTATTGCTACTATTATTAATATATTCTACAGTTAGTGTTTCGTGCAACCAGCTAAATTTATTAGATTGTTCATAGCAATTAGGTAAAGCATTTTAAGCATTTTCCAGAAAGATGTTTAAAAAAAGACAATAGAAAACGTAATTGTCATAATTTTATTATAGTATTTAACTACATTTATAATTCTTTAAGATTATACTGACGAAATTTTTGGTGATTTGGTGGGCAACTGAAATATCGAGGCAATTATTCTGAAAAATTTTTCATCATAACATTAATAAAAAAATTCAAAACATTTTTAAAATGAAGAGCTATTATTAAGTTGATAAGAGAAAGACGTGCTTGACGCAATTCCAAAAGGGGTTAAGTGGTGATGAAGCTCATGATGTTAAATCGTCCTATGTTAACGTAACAAGAGCGTCAATTCAACACTTTATCGTTTTCCCACATGACGATCCTAAACTAGATGAAACGACGATCTGGACCCTAAACTAGATAGAAGACATACAGGAAGTTGATGGATGCAGGTGGCTCAGGACTGTGCTTTGTGGCATTACTAAGGTAGAACGTATTTTCAATAGAAGAGTTGTGAAGGGCTGTAATGAAGATGAAGTAATAATTTTGGTAAATTTAAATCACTGTGAAACACTAAGATCGACATCTGTGGCATACAAACAGTCAGGCGGACGAATTAACTCCATTAGATTTCCGTTTTGCAGAGTGCACGGAACCCAAAAAATCGACATAACACAATTTAAAGGATAACGTTTACAGGATGTTATCTTCAGTATATAATTTCTTTCAAAGTTATGTATTGAAGATAACATCCTGTAAACGTCTCATTAAAGTGCACATACCATCTTTTTCACCATTCTTAATAGGGTAAAAGGAGCTATGCATATGACTATGTACTTGATTAATTTAATATCTGGCATAAGGTTTCTTTTGATCCCAAAGAAGTGGCAAATAAATACTAATAATTAAAATAATAATTTAAGTAGTGCTGTTGCCAGGGCACATAGGTTGTTCCCGCATATCTGAAAAGTATTGTAGTTGCAATCTTCTACTTATTCAGTGCGGAAATATGCTGTTGAACCCATCTGTGGTGGGATCTGTAAAAATATAAAAATTAAGTTATTTTTCAGGCTATGGTAATGTTTCTCCACGCACGGCTGCTGGGCGAGCAGCAACAGTGGCCTACGCAGCAGCTGGAGTGCCGTTGACTCTAGCATGCTTGGCAGGCCTAGGTGCATCGTTAGCTCGGCTCGCGAGGATAGCGTGGCTCAAGGCAACTAAAAATAAGATGCCTAATAGTTGGAGGAAGGATGGTGAAGTATGTGTAAGTGAATTTTAAACATTAGTACACGATGGCAGACATCAGACTCTTTACATAGTATAAAATAGTTTGCTTCCCGACGTCTGTACTTTTAGATCTCTTAAAATATTTAACGAATTTTAATGCAATTTTCAACAAAAGATAGAATAATTTAAAAGAAAGGCTTATATGTATTATATATGTATATTATATATTACATAATTCTTCTGTCCGTGTGTATGTGACTGAACTCCCCCTAAACGGCTGCACCGATTTATATGAAATTTTGTGTGGGTGATTAAGTTGATTACAAATGGCTTAGATTCACAATTGAACCCAGTAGGTGGTGTTACCGTCGAGATTCAGAAACCAACCATGCGAAGACGGGGCGGATCGATAGTTCGTTCATATACGGATTTTTTTGTATTTTACGTTTGATGAGCTACTAGAGCCCTTGTAGACTAGCAACCTTTTTTTAGCCGATAGTTCAGTCGAGTTGGAGTACTAGTGTGCATATTGAGCACAGTGAGTGCGTAGGCTAGATATCAGTGGGCCGTTCACTCTCGAAGAAATTGCAAGTTCGTAAGTTGCTCTTAAAAGAAACTTCGGGAGATACGTATCCTGTTTTGTTTAATCCTCGGCCCTAAAATTCCAATCATAAACAACTATATCACTGAACTCTCTTGGTTCTTAATTTTATTCCTTTCAGAGTACTCTTTTAATATTTTTAATTCTCTACAATTTACGACTGAGGTTTCGACAAATAACGAAACTTATGCATGGCTAGCTTAGAACAAATCCGCCAAGACGGCGGATGAAGCAATAGTCGAGTGAACGATAGAGGCGCGCGTTGAAAAGTGCTATATTGATTATGGATCAAGCTATGCCTAAATTTGAGACCTCGCCAATTTCAAACAAGTCTTATGGCTTCCGATATATGGCGATATAACCATCTCATTTACAGCAGACTTAAAATGCCCCGATGGGGAATGGGCGGCAGTGCCAAAGATGAGGGACAGCTGGTACTATGGTCATCAAACCAAGCGTGACGATTAAGGAAAATACCCCTTCATATAGAGAGACCTATGTTCAGTAGGAAACTTTTACGGTCTGATTAAAAAGAATATGGCTAAATTCTATATAAATGAATGTGTGAATACTCTTATTTAGTTAGTTTTGAGCAAAATATACGGGTGAAAGGCAAAATGGTTAAAGAGACATCCTTGATGGTATTAACAAACCTTTGATGATATTAAAAACTTGATCATATTGACTTATAATATATTTGTAATAAGCAAATATTTCTGCGTCAATTGCGTCGGGTCCCATTAATTACACTTTTTGGCGCTTAAACCTGTCAATTTTCTGGGAAGTTTTATTAACAAGATAAACTGAGCGCCATAGAATTAGCCAAGTGTCCGTGAAAGTTGACTTTAACTAGACAAAGTTTTGATCGAATTTCGCTTTAAGTGTTCATGATTTCCCAATTTTATAATTCGGAGACGTTGGAAACATTTTTTATCTTGCTACATTTTATTTTATAATGTCTCTTAAAATATTTTGCTTATACAATAAAACATAATAGTGATATTGTTTAAAATATTTTGTCAGTATTTAAAACAAATAAAGTATGTCGATTAAGCCTTCCGTCTAACAAAAGGCCTAGCTCACGCAGACTTCAAAATATCTGATGACCTATCTGAAAACTATCTTAGAGAAAAACTAATAGGCAAGGTCAGCAAGACAAGTAGCAACAACAGATTTTAAATAATGTACATTAGACAAAAACATGGTAATGTAATGCTACCTAGAATTATGTTAGTTTTTAATGTATTCAACATTACATATGTTTCCATACATGAAAAAGAGTTTTAAGATGATTTAGATAATTTGTTTGTGTTGTCGATATAGTTTTCCTTTATTATATATTATTTGACGTTTCAAATGAATACCTTTGTACAACTTTGATTTTGCACGACGGTTGCTTGGATGCATTTAGTCTCACTCTAAGAAATATTTTTGACACAAATAAACCATGTTGCTTCAACCCAGAAACTGAAACTATGGTAATTGAATCATTTTGCCTTAGCCTAACCTAAGTAAATGTGAATTTTAATGTTAAAGATATTAATATAATTTTTTTGCTGTAAGTGCTAACCTCGCCTGCACATATTATGTTCTTCTGTGTAACGAGTGAGGCTTTAACAATTCGCTGTGGTGAAAGACACATCTTAATTTGCTCACACTGCTGTTGCATTATCGATAAACAGAGACTCTGCGTTCAATAGACCTAGTGTAGCGTGGCTAGAGATCATTTTCTAGTTAAAAACTACCCTCATTAGTGGATTTAAAAAAACTATAAATTTTTACTATAAACTGTCTTTTTCTTGCCACAGCTGGAAAATCATTTTCAACTACACGAACAACAACGTCTTCTCCCACATCAATCACTCAATAATCAGTATACATCATTTCCACCTCGATCAAATAGATATACTGAAACCGTTAAGGCTAGAGCTGGTGAAAAAGGACAATATTCTCAAGTATTTGAAAAGGCGCCAGCTAGTCCTAGAGCGGCAACATTAGGTCGTGTGAAACGGAGTGCCCTTAATGACGGTAATTTATATTGTATTTTTATTTAAAATAATTTAGAAACGCTTTACGTTATTACCTTTAAAAAAATATCATATTAAGTGAAAATATATATTTCTCACGTGACAGTTTCACGTGCGAGCATATTTTACATTTTACCCCTATTCTTTTGTGATTAATTATCTGTCAACATTTTTTTAGAACCTCATTCATCAGGGAGTCTTCAAACGCAGACATTAGACAGAAAAAGAACTTTGAATAGTACGAAGTGTATGGCAACAATACATGGCCCAGGGAGAGGACGTGCAAGAGGCCCTATTCAACGACCTCGGGGTGTTGCCATAGAGCAACTTATAGCAGAAGAATGTGGGGAAATCATCATGAATAGCTGTCCAGAAGATCTTGACGATTCAGAAGATACTGATGAAATGTAAGTCTTTGAATTTTTGAGAAAGTTTTAGAATAATACGTCTATTGGTTTTATGTTTTCTTTTTTTCAAACAAACATTCATTCTAAAGCTGAGTAGTAATTTTTTTTACTATTATGAGATAGTGTTTGATTTCTATTCACCTGATTGGAAGTCAAGATGTAGTCGCAGATGCTGAAACACACTATCTTAATAAAAGGCATTTTAACAAATCATCATTGTTATGGGCTGGCAGACGCAGACAAATTATTTCACTTTGTACGTGGTAGAGCCAAGCTGCAGCTATATTTAAAATATTGTTGTAGCACGAATGGGTCGGCTCGACTGGGGAAAAACCATGCTCTCACAGAATACCAGCGTAAAATAGCAGCTTAATACTGCTGTGTTTCGTATAGTGAGTGTAGAGAACCGGAGACACTTTTTACTGGTAAAGAGGCATTCCATCTTAATCCTCAAGGCTGAAAACGCATCTGCATTTTGACTCGCAGACGAGCATAGATGTAGATGTCTATGGGCCACAGCAGCCACTTACCATCGGGTGGACTGTGTGCTCGTTTGCCAGTTTTGTTCTATAAAAAAAAACTTCTTTGCTGTACGCATGATGTACGATGAAGCAAGTAGTTTCGTTCGAATGCGTGGTATATCAACAATTGATGGCTGTTGATTATCTGATTACTGATGGTCTGATTATCCGATGGTGTAAGGGTGAAGGAGGAATTAATTTACTCGATTCCTTTGCACATGTACGGATTTCCATTTGGCATGATCCTGACACACCTCCTTCGCCTCTTTTATATCCATAAAATTACGCATACATGCTAGTAAATTAAGAATATTTTGAATCTGACCCATTTTCAATATATCGCCACTTCGGGCGATATATTTTCACTTAGGGCGTCCCTTCTCGACTTTGCCGTTGACTGCTGCAAGATTTGCTTTATCACTCTTTCCTTGTTCATTCTTTCTACGTGACCAAACTATTGAAGCATTCCTTTCTTAAGCCTGGTCACAACATTGTCACAACATTTGACAGCTCCGTGGCGCAGTGGCTTAGCAATTAGTTAAAACGCTGGGGGCCGCGGGTTCGAATCCCGCACGGAACAAGTATTTGTATGGCCTACAAATAATTGTTCCGGGTCAGGTTGTTTGTCCTTGTACAATTTATGTTTGTAAACTGCCTCTACGATACAGGAGAAAATCCTAGTGTGGAGGTGACGTTTAAAAAAAATAAAAAAAACATCATCTTGTAAACCACACTTTTCTCTTATCACTCAATTTCTCACCCTGTCGTTCAGATTCAGCCCTAATATACTCCTTAATGACCGCATTTTACAGCAGTAGGGACTAACACGTCATTGTGAATTGCCAAACGTGCCTTTTTTGACACAGTCTAACTTCCAACCATAGAGTGTAGAGCCATACTTACACTGTTTCCTGCGTTCGTTCGTCGTTCTATACCCTTATTATATCTACCATCCCTGTTAAAAATACGAGTACATCCCATATACACAAACTCATACACTTGCTCAACCAACTCCCCTTCTATTCTTATCTAAAAACCTTCAAAAACCATCACTTTCGTCTTACTTGCGTTCACTTTCAATCCCCTTACTTTTAATGATCTGTTAGTTAATGTTACCATTATTTTCAACTCGGCCGCCGACGACGCAATTGTGACTTGATCAACGTCTTACAAAAGGCATTTGACACCTAACTTACCCATTCTTAACCCACAGTCTTCCACATTCAAAGTTTCCAAACAACTGTCCATAAATAGGTAATAACAGACACGGGGAAGCTCCACAGCCCTATCTGACACCTTAATAGATAGCAAACCAGTCCGAGTAGGCCCGTTGATCCTGAAACAAGCACTAGAGCTCCTATAAATACCTTAATACCTGTAACAACCCAGCTCGTGCAGCAGCGTGTTTACCTTAACGCATCCTTATGTCCTTATGTTGAACAACCGGTAAACCCTTGTATCTAACATTGCGATCCTGATTTTTCATCTATAATTATGAAACTTATCATGCTTCTATCATCTTCTCTTTCCCATGTATACATGTGAATCTTCATATGACGAAAGAAAGTGTTCGTCAAACAATATTTTTTCCACACATACGGTGAGAAAGGTTTCACCATTCTCATTAATACTTTCATCACCAAACGGTTCTAATATCCTTTCATAACCAGACCTCTTCACCCCAACCCTTCCATTAAAATCTCCTAACATACCAATATATGTATTTTCACTTTTCTTACATTTCATTAACACCATTCTTAACATCTCCCAAAACAACTCTCAGATATATGTGGGCTTAGACATGTCTGGGGCATACACTCCTAGAACAAATAACTTATTTAATCCCGATTTTATTTGTATCCTTAGCAGCCTAAAGCTTACACATTCATACTCTTTCACATATTGACCCATTCTTTCTGAAAGACAATACCGACTCCCTGGCATGACCACTCGGTCTCGTATCTGCGCTAGACCTGTAAGCGGTATACATGCCATATGCAGTGGTATCCTTTGCCTTTCGTTTAGTCTCATTTTCACATATCACATCTTTTCCTCTATCATACATCATTTCGCATACTTCATCCATTTTATCATTCATTGCTCCACATACATTCAGCGTAGCCAGACGGGCTTCAGCAATTCAGCAATCCACTATTTGCCCCTCCGGGTAACAAAACCTCGTCACTGGCTTTACTCCCTGAGATTTTTCACACCTCTGCTTCATTAAAGGGCGCCGAGAACTCGGGGCCATTTCATTAGTTTTATGCCTCATGGTGCGGACTAGGGGGTGGTAGATTTTACGCCACTACTATATGGCGAGAAGCCGAGTACGTTCTTTTGGCTTTGTCACTCGTTTAGCACCATCCGATAGATTGTTTGTAGCTTGAATATTTTATTTTAATTAATTTTTTTTTCTTAACAGAATGTGTCCTCATGACACACCTTCACGCGTGCCTTTAATATGGAATGAAGAAAATCAAAAAATCAAGAGTTGTGCAGTTCCAAGTTGCAGCACATCGACAAGCGTTCCACACCAGAGTCACAGCATAGAACATTGTCAAATACCAGTCGGAATAGTGTTATTTTTGTTACTCGGTTACATATGTATCGGTGCTGCTATATTTTCCATTTGGGAAAATTGGAGTTTTCTCGACGCAGCGTACTTTTGTTTTATAGCTTTAGCGACTATTGGCTTTGGTGATTTTGTCCCAACCAGCTTCCTAACTTCAAAACAAAACGCTGAAAATTCTAAAAACGAATATATTCAAATGATTGCTTGTTGTGCCTATTTAATTTTTGGACTTATATTAATAGCAATGTCGTTTAGTCTTTTACAAGATGAAGTCGTGGCGAAATGCACGCAATTAGCAAATAGTCTCGGTATATCTCGACAATGACAGTACGAAAAAAGTGATTGCAGCACAGCTGACAATCATTTGGGAATGTTATGATCGTTAGTGTAAAAATATATTTTTGTGTTACGAATTCTCTGTTAAAACTTTTTCTACACTTCTTATCATTAATGTTATTGTTATATAAAATAACATTATTTTCTCATATGTACCAAAATTTTATTTATTGTGTCGACGGTTTGACAGGTTTTACTAAATTTGTACGCGTGATTGAGGCGTCGTTTCTCTGTATATATTGTATAAACTATTTATAAAAGCAAGGCTGAAACTGTAATGATACAATAAAATTGTGTGAATTGTATGTTCCGTTATTTTATTTGTATTTCCTGAAGATATCTTTGACCTTTTACATTTGCTTCGTTGCATAGGAAAATAATTGCTCTAATATCGTCCCTTTCATGTAATAATATTTTACCTGTAACAGTCCACAGTAGGAGACGAGTCTCTCCCAACATAGAGCAGACGCTTGGCAGGTATATTGGTGATAGTAGTACCAAATGATCTGATGTAATTTTACAAAACCACGGCCACAAAGCTAGATACAAAGATATTAGTTTTCATCATGATCATCATCACTACAGTCTTTCACAAATCTACTATAGAATATATAGATCTACAAAAAAACCTACATAAATCGGTTTTATATATATCTTACCAAGTCGTCACTTCATCTAGTGGGGCCGCCTTACACGGGTACGAGCCTAACACTCGACATATTCTCGAGGTTTTCTCCATAGGTTTTCGGTTTTTCGAGCTACAAAACTGGTCTATTGTCACTTTGTCTTGTTGATTAATTGGTCAATAATCCTTTTTTAGATTTATATCAAGAGTTAGTAAAGAATTAGAATTAGAATAAGAATTAGAAATAGAAGATATGTGAAGTCTGTCTGTTGCTCACGGCCCACTTCAAGAATTTCCTGCGGTTCCATTACACTCATTTAAAAATATTTTGAAGGACCATTATAGAATCCAATTGCATTGCACTATTCTCTGTTTATAATTTAGTACCAAGTGAGTTGTGATAAGGATCACTTCTTTCAAGCTTCATCTCAATCTTTTTTAGTGATTTATGTAAATTTCTTTACTTCTTATTGCACTTTTGAACCCACTTTTGTGTTCCGGTATGAAGGCTCAGATAGTCAGAATAAAAGGTTGTAGGAAATTTCATTTTTCTCCTCAGTGGTGACAACACATACGTGGCCTTTTTTGTTTGACGTTGATTGTAGATGTGCCATTATTGTATTGGCTACTAATATCATAAGAAAGTGTATATAGACATGTATATTTTCTAACTTATACTCTCCTAATGTCTAATATATCATAACCGGCCCTTCGAACTTAAATTATTGTTTACATGGACCATTACTCTGTCTGAACTCGACCCCCGCTATAAAGATAAGTTTTACACTTTACGCTCTGCTGACTTAAGAGAGGTTTTGTACTTTTAGTGTTTTTAGTACAAACGTGAATGATTGTTACTACAATATTGGATACAAACATTTATATCCATCCAAATTTTATATAAACAGTTTGTAATAAACTGTTTTTATAACATTTGGATTTTTAGCGGGCTTAATTTGTTAGGGGAAAATATACATGTGATGCGGACGGCAGTGGTCATTTACGATTGATGATGCCCTGCTTGCTTATTATTGTACTATAAAAATGAGACAGCCCGTATTGGACCAAAAATTACGACGAGGATTTTCGACATTAAAATACCTTAAAAAGTTACTTAAACTTTATTTTAAACATTTTGCTTATTATCAGGAAATAAAGGATCTATATAAAACTAGCTGACCCGGCGAACTTCGTACAGTTGATTCTTTAATTTTTTATTTTTTTAATATTTATTCTGCTATTCGGGATACCGGGTCAGCTAGAAAGATAAAAAAAAAGAAAAAAGAAAGTTGATAAGTCAACATTTGTCAAAAAATAAAAATTAGAAAACACTTAAAATTCTTTTAATAGTTACTAAAAATCACAATGAAAATTACAATTTCTGATTTCTTATTATGATACCTACTTATTATATTTCATTGACATTAATATTTATACGATACTAATGTCACTCAATGGTTTTGCCTTCCCGGAACCCCTCCACTAACATTTAAACTTTGTAGTATGGTATTAAAGTTCAAATTGACTTTTAAGTATTATTACGAATCTTTTGTATGGGAATATAGAAAAGTGTTGTTTTAAGACTTTTTTAGGCAATTTTTTTAATTTTTCTCTCCGTAAGAACCATCTTCGTACTTCAAGGAATATTATAAAAAAAGAAATAGCGAAATCGGTTCAGCTTCGCTTAACAACATATTCAGCTATTCAATTTTATATTATAGATGTAACTGCTTCAAAACCTAACTTAATAAAATGCCTTTCGTATTATCAAAAAAATATCATGTAAAAAAACTCGAAAGTCAAAGGTTTTTCATTGAATAAGTTATAAAGTTTTAACTCGATTAATATACATTATTTGAAAAATGCATTTAATTGAGAATCTATTTAATAATGTAATGTATGAGCATATTATTTTCTGAGCATATACTATTTCAAGATCTAAAGTACGGTGTTTTGTTCAATCTGGCCTACTAGTACGGTTTCAAACATCTTCCATAATCGTCTTTATGTGAGTAATAAACGAGTACTTCGCAGAATGAATGTTAAGATCCTAATTGTGTAGTTTTGTGACAAGGAGCAGTTCCTAGAGTGCAAGGCATCTGGTACAGTGGTCTTTCAAACAAACGTGGAAATAATTAAAAATTCTTTCAATAATTGCCACGTTTGTATGCTGTAAAAGTAAAGTGTATTGTTGCAGAACATCATCAGACTATAATAAGTCCAGTGCACGACATTAATCTTAGTATTACAGATTGATATCAACGATAAAAGAATCAACTTCATCATCAGCCTGTAAACAGTCTGTTGCTAGACCTGGGTCTCTCCTACAGTAGGAAAATTGTACGTTAATCACCACTTAGTAGGCGGATTGGCGAACGCATTTTATCTTAGTCCTCTGCCATATTAGGCCTCAAAAGCTTTGTACTCAGAGGTGACAAGCATCTTTAGGCAAGTGAAGTTGGTTGCAGGTGTCCGCGGCTGCAGTAGCCACTGATCATTAAGTTGATAGAAAGTTCCTTAGACACTTCAATTTTATAAAAAAAGAAGTGTGAAACGATATTATTTTTGTTAAAGATACCTTGTGTTGTATTTACTTCTTCTAAGAAATTATTTGGATGGTAAACATTGTTACAACAAACATTGATGTATAAACACTAATAATGTGGTACTTTTCAAAGTAAATACAAATAATACAAAATGTTTGGAAGCTACAATAAAATAGAGGCTGCTAAATTTTTCTGGTCTGTTCGTAGCCTCTAACAACACGTCTAAATGAGATGGGTAATGGATTCTATTCGGATACAATCCACGCCTTTATAACTAAGCTTTGAGAGTCCTTCAAGTGATAGCTGATCGTTTAGTTTTATCAAAAAATGCTATGTATATTACAAGACCGGAAATTCAGAATAAAATTACTGAGTCACAGCTATGGATCGCTCGGGCGCGAGCGCGTTCTTCAGCTGGCAAGGTGAACATGCCCCTAAGTCGTATTATCAGTTACGATTGTTACTGTTTCTAGGCAAATACAAAATAAAGTTACACACTTTTCTGAAATAAACTTCTAACTACGTTTAGAAAGTGCGACACACTAATTTGTTTGATCGTCTCGACTTACAATACAAAGTAGCCTTAGGAGTTACGGAGATCTAACCGTAGCTTAGTGCGCAATTTATTAAGGCCGCAGAGTCCGTCACGTAGTGTTAACAGATGTCTTTGATTTTTATAAATTATTTTGAAGGGATATAAACTCAAATCAATCATCTACATAAGTATTAAATGCATGCCCATTCAAAATTAAATTGTTTATTTTCTACCACAAATATTAAGTCTTCAAAAGAGATTCAATTAATCATTTGTAAATTAACAGGTTCAAAAGTATAACGTTGCATGTTAAAGTGGTGTAAAATGAAATGTAAAATAAGGGTAAGCTTCAAGTTACGATAAGAGTTTCATACCGGGATAATATTTTTAATTAGCTTTTAGTTTTTTGAGAATTTAACACCAAAAATATTTATCGCGTCAATCAGATAAAATAAACATTTAACTAAACTATTTTATAGAATATAAACCAAATAAATATATAACTTCTAATTGGATGTTTTTAAGAACTAATTGTAATAGTGAAGTCGCATGTTAAGGTTTTGGGTTTTATTTATTTAAATGCTATGTTACACAGAAAACTAAATAAGTAAATTATAAAATGAACAAACGTATTAAATGTTATTAATATTAAAATGAAATTCATTTATAGAAGTAACTAATTATTTACATTTAAAAAGTAATGTACATATATATATATATGTACATTGCACTACCATAGTTGGCTTCTATTTCTCCTGTATAGGGGTGTTAAAAATATATTATCTTGTAATCAATTACATAAGTTCACGAGTAAAGTTTGTTAAATCAGCATAGGTACAACAAATGTAGCGGGCATAAACTGAAGGGAAAAACGGTGACCTAAAAATACATCAAGGTTCATGAACATGCATCGTGTATATATATATATAGAGTATGTAGTGGCGATGTAAGAAAATACACAACCCTATATCCTCCCGTGGACACCCAAGAGGCCTCGAATGCCTCGTTTGTCTAGTGGTGGCAAATGCGATTGCTAATCATAAGCTCACGGGTTCGAATCCCCGGTAAGCCAAAACGAGTTAGGTTTTGTGTGTCGGAAATTCTCAGTAGCAGCACGGAAAGGAAATTGGCGGTTTCACCCGCGTGCCTCGGAAAACACTTAAAGCCACTGGTCCTGCAACTGATCTTATTCCGGTTGTATCTGATTACCGTTCCACCGTACTATGAGAGTGACGGAATAGAGAGTGCACGTGTGTTTGCGCGCACACTCCGTCACCATAATC